CACCGATCGTCAAATAGTCTATCCAGTTCTGCGCTCACTTCTCTTGTGCAATGTGCAGGAGCTCCGTCTAGTTGGTACCAACAGTTTCGATAATCTTCGAGTGGCAGATTATCCATGAAACTGTCTACAGTATTCTCCAAAATATTCAGGTAGCTTCTGGATGTTCTTCAATGAATTTCACTTACTTAAAGTTATCCAAACTTTGCTCACCAGAAGAGTTTTCCTGATTTTTCTTCAACAATGCATCAGCCATTCTCTCATTCTTGATACCTGGAAGGCATTATCACTATTTAAATGTGGCAAAACAAAATTGGAATGAAAATCAAAAAGATATTTTTCTCATAGGTTCCTCATGAACAATTACAACTTTTCATGACATGGAGAGCAACTTGCATTCCCGTTGTTGAAAAGCACTCATTACGTTTCCAGTTTCTTGGCCAAGTACCACTCCTTTTTCTTTTGGGCATCTGGATACTATCTTGAGAAAGAATGATAAAAATTATGGAAACAAATGATACAAAAGAATGTGTCATTCACTTACTTTCCTCAACTGAAGATACACAACTGAAATCACTCTAGTTTAATAATGTACTTAGTCAAACCAACAAATCCCACACACCAATTCTCCTCGGGCCTAAAATGAGATATTGTAGGTTAAACAACATGACTTTATCATAAAACTATTGTCTTTTACTTACTTTTCTCAAAGACTGAATATGTAACTCTACTGTTTGATGATGCAAAAGCAAACTATTCGCTGTACTGCAAACTGGACAGCCTCAAACTATAAATGGTACATTAAACATGAGAAAATGATGCTTTGATTATATCACCAATGCTAACCGCCATATTGAACCAATTGTCGATTTCAAAGCGAAGCTGTCAAGCTTCTCTGTTACCAGGATTTGTCGCTATGTAATTAAACAATTGAACAAAAAGAAAAATTGGATGAGAATACACGGATGCAATTGATTCATTTATTGGACCATTCGAATTTTTTGTCGTTTCCAATAGTTGGAGCAATTCATCAGAATCTTCGCGATGAGTTCAAAAACTGGTTAACACTATAAGGGTTACATACATTAGGTTACTCATTCAATCAAAATCTTCAAATATTTTTGTTTTTATTATTATCGAATTATTTGAATACGTTATCATAAGATAATTCAAAATTCCAGTAATACACCGTATAGAATATTCCGAAATATACCCTGGGGATATATTATAAAAATATGCCTACCATATGATATATTCGATCTACAATATTCTTAGAATGTTCACAGGAGAATAATCCATTTATAGACATTCCTATGCACATTCTCCTGGAATAATCCTGCCATATTCATTCAAGCATATTCTATGAATATTCCCAACGCATGTATATATTCCAAGAATATTCTATAAATATTTGAAATATATACGTTCGTTTTATGATAAAGAGGGAATATTTCATGAATCTCTGGTGCTGTGCTTTGTTTTTGTTGCTTCTAGTTGACGCCGAACAAAAAGTAGATAGTTGGCCACTGTCACTTCTTCACCAATTATTATTCAGTCATCCTTGTTCACTGTGTTCCAACATGGTTTATTCTACTGAAGAAAGAGTAGAAATTGTTGCAACCTATTATTAGGATCTTTTCACAACAGAAAATATGAAGTATCCCGTCGTGTCAGAAATGACGGAGTTGAAGTTGCAGTTTAAGGACAAATGGATAATCGACAATCTATGAGACAAGTAGCTAGATCATTTTTTAGTGTATCAGCTACGTGTTTTTCGGATTTTGAAAGCCTACAAAATCCATCCTCTCAAAATAAGTCTAGTTCAGGAATTAAACGAAGATGATCCTCATCGTCGACTTCAGTTTTTTGAGGTGTTCACCGAGAAATTGACCAATTACCCACACCTATTATACAATACATGCTTCTCAGACGAAAGTTCTTTCATGTTGAATGGTGAAGTGAATGTACATAATTGTCGTTACTGGAGCGATGTGGATCCTCATTTGGTGATGGAAACACATTCCCAAACTCCAAAAAACGTGAATGCCTGGGCCGACATTCTTAGTAATCATATTGTTGGACCATTCTTCAATGAAGATAGTTTCAATGGAGACACATACCTAAATATATATCAAGACAATGTAGAACCTATGATTACAGAAATTTCAGAAAATTATGACAATTTAGTAGAAAATGAAAGAACATCCCAGCAGGATTGTGCACCCCCACATGTTGATGATGTTTGTGACGTTTTCCAATGCTTCGGATCAGTAGAAGGGGTCCAATGGAGTGGCCAGCTAGACCACCTGGTCTCACACCTACAAATCTAGAAGACCTGCGACAGAGAATCGTTCGGGAATGCCGATTGCTGACTCCGCATATCTTGACTAATGTAAGGAACGCTTTCGAGAGTAGACTGTATTTTTGTATGGAACTAGGTGGACGTCATTTTGAACGATTCATCCGTTGATTTTGTTCACACTAATATTATTTGTTGTTGATTTTCTCATTGAAATGAACGACAGCGAAATTTTTTGTTGTTTTTTTCTAAATAAAACATTCAACATTTAATTTCTCAGTGACGAATGAACCAATTTGAAAAAAAATCACAGAGGTAATAGAGGGACAAAAGGCCTTTCAAATGATGTATCACTAGATTCCACATGCCATTGAAAAAAATAGGGAAAGGGGAGTTGCTGACCGCAGTGAGGTGAAGTTTTGGGTATGATTTCCATATCAGAAGTATTCCCCCCAGAAATGAAAATTGACGTATTCTTTGAAATTTTCGATTGCAAGTCCGTTTCTGACTTACAGGGAAGGTCAAGTTTTCGATAGAACACCCTGTATATTATACTCCAAATCTAAAACACGCACTTTTCCCAAACATACTCCTTTCGACGCTCGTTTCATTAACCAAGTTGGTGTCTTCAGGAGTAAAGTAAACTGCTTGTTTTGGATTTATTCTACGTCAAAGATTCAAATTTCACCTTTCATTAAAATATACAAATAAATCAAAAATTCCATATTGTTATGAGACTAGTGTAGCTCCAATGAACCAGGCTGTTAGTTACAGAGTGGTGGCGGTGGTGGCTGGAAACTCGGACGCTGTGACGCTGAGCAGTCTCAAGGCTGACACTCAGTACCAGGTGACCGTCGCCGCAGTTTGGGCCGGAAAGAAGTACCGGAGTAGGCCTATTGTCTTCCGAACCCTGGGTGAGTCGATTTTTATGTATTTACATGTGCCTTAGTTCCAGTTAGTGTATTTACATTGTTTATAATGCAACGCATATACGTTTTTCACTACGTAAAATATAATAAAGAATGATTGAGACCCAGCTGCAGTTGTGGAAGTTTTGTCATAAAACACGGTTTTTCTCAACACTGATATGGCAATAGAAATGTAACCCATCTGTCGAGTCTTAAAAATATGTTTCCAATTGTTAAAAACGACTCAACGTGATGAAATTAACGATGAAAAAGTTATTTGTAATGCTTCAGATATACATCGTATTTGGACGATCAATAAAAATTCGAACAACAAATTCCGATGGAGTGTTCTTCTTCATACAACCACTCTTAATTAAAACGAGACAATTACCGTCTGTCGATAGATCACTTCCACAACAAAGAACAGTATCGTTGCCAAGCCATCTGTACTGTAACCTACATAACGACACATCTATCGAATTTAAATAATCAGCATCGAAAAATATAATGGAAGCAATGCGTTTTCGATCATCCAAACTCGATGTGCAAGTAGTATTAAGGTAGACACGAGGTGTAGCAAAAATGCTAACTGGTAGCCTATATGTTTGCTTATCAGCATGTCGCTACACAAGCAATCCTTTCACACTAGTTCACGTACCGGCTTAGCAGGTTAGTTAGATGAGCTTTTGATGGGAGCCAACATTCCACCGTCCAGGGTTGAATGTCCTGGTTACTGTGTTCAAAAGCTAGAATACATTCCGTCTACTCCCGCTGACTTCAGAGCGATTCTCAAACTGCTGCTTGGCACTCCAGCAAGATCAATATCTAACCAAGATCACTTGGTGATCGAAACACGTGTCGAGGTGTTGAAAATAACGATTTGGTGTTGGGAAAAAACTCCAGTAATATTCATTACTACAGCAAAGGTTCCAAAAAGTACATCATAAGTAACCTTTTATTGTTGAAAATCAGCCTCAGATGCTTTGTTTCCTCTTCATCTGTTTGCGTTTGTTGTACCTGACTCTACAATGTGTAGTGTTTGCATAGTGGTCCCCGGTACCCCGGATAGCGTCACGTGTGTGTGATAGGAGTAACCGAAAGTGGTCTCTGGTTTGTTTCTTTGGCCCCTGGTGCTCGTTTCTCTCGCGGAATCTGGGGTCGTCCCTGTTCAATGCGTTGTATAGGTCACACAGATAGGTTGGGTGTTCAAATTCGCACAGAGTTCACCCTTGCACTGAATACTGAAATGCAGGTCCTGGTAGGTATATCGATTGGGTATATGCCTAGGAGCGATTACGACCATCCGCAGACAGAAGTTCATAAACCTTTAAATCTGGAGCTTGTTTGTTTCTGAGCACCGACCACATGCAGTGAAGGCATTCAAATAGATAGGAAGTAGTATTGTCTTGATCAGGAGCAGTTTCACTTGGAAGTCCATGGTACTTTTGCGTCAAATGATGAGATAAAGGTTCGTCAGCCCTAGCCTATATGTGATATGGGATCTGAATATTAGTTTCTCTTCGAGGCTGACCCCGAGTCATCCGTGTTGTTGCTGGTAGCCGGTGATTAGCTGGTGACTGGTGAATCTGGGCAGAAGAACTCTGTCGTCCGCGTAGAGAGGCAACTTGTTGAAGTTGTTCTCTGGCTTAGGCACATTGTCGTATACACTGAAAATAGGTATAGAGAAAGGAGTGTGCTTCAAGGACTCCTGCTTCCAGAATTCTTCAGATGAGAGTTTCTGTTCAACTATGCATTGACATTATGGCAAAGCACCATTATGGAACAAGGTGCATGCACCTTGCCTTCAAATTCTGGTTGAAATAGTAAGCAAGAACCTGAGCTTTTATACTAGTATAGGTCTATCCTGACTTCACCTCATATACGATTGCCGAATAGTCATAGAAAAAAATGAATTTTTGAGCAACAAATGTTACGAGGAGTTGTAGAATTGAGAACTTCCAGAAAAAAAACTTTGTCAAAAAAAGAGTTACTGCTGAACTGCAAGCCCGTTTCGCCTGCCAAGTGAATTAGCAATATCCAACCAATTTCCAGCCTGAATTGAAACGAAAGCTTCTGAAAAAGAAAACGGCTTCATATTCTAGTTTTATATAACATAAGATACTCACGGACTCTAGAATTATGAACCTATGATGCACTGTTGGAACCTTTGGTGTAGTAATGAATATTACTGGAGTTTTTTTCCAACACTAAATCGTTATTTTCAACACCTCGACATGTGTTTCGATCACCAAATGATCATCTTCTAAGAGGAAGATTAAAACTAGAAACTATATGAACATATATTGTAGAATAAAAGATAAGGCAAAATTGTAAAATTGAGTTAGGTTGGTATACCTGTATGGGTGGTACGCCTGAATGGTTCACCTGTATGGGATACCTATATAGCATAAATAGGGCTAGCTCGCATTAGTTTCTAGTTTTGATCTTCCTCTTTGAAGATGATCATTTGGTGATCGAAACACATGTCGAGGTGTTAAAAATAACGATTTGGTGTTGGGAAAAAACTCCAGTGATGTTCTAGAGTTGTGAAGACAGTTGATTCCTCAACCGATGCCTTCAACCTCAAAACCAGACAGTCGAACTCTGACAAAATGTACTGTTTTCAGATGAAATCAGTGTTGGCTTCACGAAGATAATCATTAAATTTGGATTCGAAATAACTCTTTGGAGACGAGCTATACTTCAGGCTTTCGGTCTGATCCAAAATTCAAGGAAGGAATCATAACTCTTAAGAACGCATACTGTTCAAGGCAAAACTGCCTCTAATTTCTATGCAACAAACTAGGGAAAGGTTTTTTAATTTGGTACTCGAAACCATTGGTCAACCATGGGTGTCATCCTGCATCCATGCAGGATAACACCCATCCGCACGTCAGCATGAAATTTGAGAAATACCTTGGATAGAAAAAAGTGACCATTTTGAACTGGCTTCAGTCCTCGTCAGATATGGATACGATAGAAAAATATTGACATAATTTCGAGAGGAAGGCCAGAGACAGGCCAGAACGGACTGAAGCTTAAATAGTGGAGAGAAAAGACAACATTGAGTATTGAACTCAAAATAGTTGAATAAAGTTTTCCTTCAACCTATTTTTCCAGATAAATAAAGTAACATCAAATTTGTTGTACCAGTAACAGGAATTGAAATGCTTTCATTTTTCATTCCGACAAATTTCACAGTAATAGTGGAGTTTATTAATTTATTCATTTCGTGAATATAAAAATAAAGCACATCTGGTAATTCCATATGAGTTCAGTTTTGTATCACCATATATAGTTTACCACAGGTTAGCACTGTTGCGTGCTCATACGTAGTGAGTTTTGTAACATGGAATCAATTATATTCCCATATAATATTGTAAATATGCTTCCTCAAAAGTACCAATACGTTGACTTTGTTATAGCAGTTGATACAACTGATGAATTTAAGTTAATTTAGGTTAGGCACATGACAGTGCTTAATCGTCGTAAGCTTTGTATGCGGCTAGTCTTCCTCCACTACGTTTCTATGGCCTATAGGGCGTTCCACCGAAAACTTGACGACCCCCCCCATATATAATATTTTCTTCTACGGTCAATAGGGAGCGAGCTACAGCATCTCAAAGATGGACCATTTTTCTCAAAATGGCAAAAAATGCAAATGGCGCCTTCTTTTGTGTATGTTATTGCGACCCATGCATTCTTTGGTTGTATTTTCGAATAATATTTTGGTCCGATGAAGTTCTACAGACCCCCCATCAACAACCTTCCTTTCCCCCCCCCCCCAAATTGATAACTGACGAGGAATGAGTAGGCATATCGAAACCCTCACAGTCCAACGCAATGTGAGAAAAAGCACCTCAACCTATTCGCCGAGCTTTCGTATTGTTTTGAAGCTTCATCAGAGCCTAAAGTCAATACAGTGAAACAAAACTATGGTGAATGAAATAAAAAGAGTTTTCTTTCCACAAAATTCGAAATAGGCGTTATTGTTATGGAAATGAAGTAAAATGATTTAGACTAAATCACCAACTGAAGGAATAAAGGAGACAAGAGAGTGAGAAAACATGTGTATGGAAAAAACTTTTATTAAACAAGTGAAGTATTTAATTACAATTGAATCATTGAAAAATTGACCAATGAAAAAAAAAGTCAACCTTTTACTTCACATCTTTCTTAGGCGTTTCGACGGTCCTGGTTCCTCACGAACAGGTGCCATGATGGGTGGGTCCTCGTAGACCTCATCCATGGTTGATGAGGTCCTCACCATCTGTGTCCAGGTCCTCACCATCTGTGTCCAGGTCGGAGGAGTACACTGGGACATTGTCACAGTCGGTGCCTCTGCATTTGTTACAGATGATGAAACATTTCAACCCGGCTTCGACGCACGAGCAGGCTCGCTGACATTCAGATCTGCAAGTGCACGAGACACTTTCAAGCAGACTTCTGGGTGCTGGGTCCTTCGATGCATGCTGTGGAATCAGGCCCTGTAGACTGCTGGTCCACCCACAATGTTTGGGGTTCAAGTATGTGGCACCCAGCCAATTTTGAATTTGGTAAAACGATCTTAGTGAGTGTAGAGCAGCAGCATCAGAAGTGGGTGGTAGTAAATTCATTCAAAAAAGGCGTTATTGTTATGAAAATAACGAATGAATTCACTACCACCTCATTTCAACAAATACCTACTCATTCCTCATGAGTTATCGAATTGGGTGGGGGGGGTTGATAGGGGGGAGTCTGCAGAACGTTTTCGGACCGAAATATAATTCAAACATTGAACCAAAGAATGCATGGGTCGCAATAACACACACAAAAAGAAGGCGCTAGTGGGCTTTTTTACCATTTTGAGAAAAAATGGTCCATTTTTGAGATGCTGTAGCTCGCTCCCTATTGGTCGTAGAAAAAAAATCATGAATAAAATTTGTAGGGAAATTTAATGCTCTACAACTTTGTATAGGAACTGTTTTTCGCTAGAATCACTCCTTCTCGAGATGTTGCGAAAAAAC